CGAGGAAGAGACGAGGAAGAGACGAGGAAGAGACGAGGAAGAGACGATTAGGCTGGGAGGTGATATCCCAGCAGGGCTTTTCCCAGGGATTGCAGGATTCAATGCTAATCTGGACGTGGGGGGTGGCAGCACTTGTCCAGTGTTGATAATGGAATTAAAAACAGAGGTCCTGAACCTTTGTGGGCTGAGACACCCAAGCACCTCCCCTGCTTCCACTCCAGTGTTCCAGTGGGTGTGTCCTTCACCCAGCAGCTCATTCCTGAATGCTGGTGGGACACACTCGCACATTTCCCCTCTTAATCCCTGCTCCAGGCCTCATCCGCCCCTCTGGAATCCCACTTTCACTAGAGATAGACTCAGACTGACCAAGCTTTCTGCCTTTGACCCCCCCTCTCTGTCCCAGCCTCTCCTGGGAAGGAGGAAAGGATAGTGGGGAGGGAAGGGATAGTTCTCCATTCAGGGAATGATCCTCTGGATGGCACAGAGGATCATCAGAGGTATCCTCTCCTCTTGGGATCAGCTTGGCATTGCCATGCCCTCTTTTGATCCGAGTCCAAGCCATGTCTGTCCTCCCAATCCCTGCTTCCAGTTCCTGTCCAGCCCATGACTCCTGTGTCATTCCAGGCTTACCTAAGCTGTTCCCAAGGCTGTGGACACGCAGGCCCCACACAGGTCCTACCTGGAATGATCAGGGCATCCAGCCCCTTGACATCCAGCTGAGCCAGATCCTTGATGTTCCCTCTGGCTATCCTGGCACTTTCCACCAGCACGTTGCGCTGCTCCGGCGTCGGCTGCCCCTTCACGTGGTCCACCACGTGCATCTGGGAGATGTTGGGAGCAAAAACCTCTGCCTGGGCACAGGGGAAAGGGCTGTTATCCTTCAGGAATGAAGGAGAAACGTGTGGAAGGTCACAGGGTGCTGAGGGACTTGGTTAGGAAAGGACTTTGCCGGGGAATGCCGTGACCTTCACCTGGATCTGATACCGGCATCAGGCAGAGGAGGGAAAGAGAGGCCTTCTGTAGCTTCTGCCCAGAGGCAAAGCAGGGAGCCCACACTGCTTGTTTTGGGGGCTGAGGAGCCCTTGGTGAAGCTGTTTCTTGGATGTTTCCATCCCTATCCCAATGAATCCCCCTCACTGGGGCAGCCCCAGCCCCGTCCCAGCTGCCCCACAGAGCCAGTGGATCCCTGTGGGAGCTGCTGTCCCACCATGGGCCTCCCTCAGAGATGAGACTTGGAGTTTCCTCTTCCCAACCTACTGTTTTCCCAAAGCCAGAGTGTTTTTCTGGAAAATGCTTCCCCTTCCTCCAGCACTTCCAAGCTCACACGCAGCAGTTGAGAGTGAAGGGTGGCAAACAGGTGGGGGAAAGGTTTTGGGGCTGAACAGCCCGTGCAATTCCAGGCTGCACGGTTTAAGAAGGATGTGAAGGAACTCGAAGAGGGCAAAGCCGGTGCCAGGGCTGGAAGGAACGTCCTGGGAGGAGCAGCTGAA